TTTTAAACCTCTCTTTAATAAAATGGATGCCCCTAAGACAGTAGAGTCTTCTGATTCGACCACCGTGGAGAATCTAATCATTCCCCCTAAGGACCCTTTTGTGCTAGATTATGTAAAGAGTAACTTCAAACCATTTCGATCTTGCCCCACCTCCGACACAGCTTATCACAACTGGTTTGCTAAAGTAGAAGCTAAGAAATCCCAGCAATGGGAAGAATTAGGTATTTACAACTTGATTAAACTATCGAAACCAGGCTTTACCTACAGCCACCCATTATTATTCGCGTCCCTATATTTCTGGGACAGTACTTACAATACTTTCCATCTCCCTGGTGGAATGATTACACCCACCTTTTTTGACATAGCAGCCATTACTGGGTTATCACCAATAGGAGAAACCTATATTCCTGACAATGAAGAGCATTAGAGTATTATTGACTTCGAAGTCAAGCTAGCTAGCTTTTCAAAGTTTATCAGCCACTATCACACTGAAGGAGACAGTGTGTCAGATGTAGAACACATTACTTTCCTTACCTTATGGTTGTCAAGGTATGTCTTTTGCAGCAGATCCCTACAGGTAGCCAGTAGGTTTATTCCTCTAGCTAGAGATTTGCATGAGAATCGAAGGGTGTGTTTAAGCGAACTGCTATTAGTTGATCTTTACGAAAGTCTAAGGTCAGCTGTTTCGAGTTTGAAATCTCACACCTCCAAAAGCATCCTGCTAGCTGGCCCTTTCTGGTTACTCCAGTTATGGCTAAATGCCATGTTCGAACCTTCACTATCAACTGCCAACACTATTGCTGAACAAGACCCAGAAATAGCGGATAGAATCATCGAAGGCACTAGGCTGCGAAGACTTACCCCAAACGACGATACGGATGACTTCAAAGTTCTCTTCTCAAAATATATCATGATTTTCTCCAAGAGGCATAAATTCGAAGAAACCATGGCACCTTTTGCTTCAAGGACTCATGGACCCTCATGGTTCACCATGGCTCTCTCAGAAGCTGTCAAAATCAAAGAAATTCAAGATGTATGGAGAGCCTTTTTTCTACCCAGACTAATCTCTTCACGAATTACTCCTGCTAAGAATTAGATTTTCCTTTTTGCTTATCAACCCAACTTCGTTTCGAGACAATTTGGCTTGTGCCAACTAATCCCTGAACCCCTATTCCAAACAGAAAATGCCATCACCTCTGGGCGAACCTTCAAGGCAAGAGAAGCCAAACTACAGCAGGAACAATACCAAGGCTTCGCCCATTTTGAACTAATAACTTTCAAACCTACACACCTTACAGCAAAGGGGTTTCTGGAATGGTGGACAAAGTTCTATCAGACTTATATGTTCGATACTCTTACTATTCAGCAGAAACTAACTGATGCATTCGATGTGCAGGTACAATCCAAGAAAGGTATGTTCACTCATGCCAAAGAGATTAAGGCTTTTCAAAATTATTTCGAAACTACTTATGATCCCACACACTTGGAATCCACTGTGCATCAAGCGGCTGAGACCTTGAAGGAAAAATTCAAAGAAAAATTTTCTAAGTTAAAACTTCCTTCAGGGTTGTCACCTGAGGATAGGTATAGGTTGGCATTCGAAATGCATCCACCTAAATTTCCTAGATTACCTACCTCAGAACTGGCTCTGGCTTGGTTTCCTCCATACCCTTGGTGGTTCACTTGCAAAGAAATGTTCAAATATCTTCAAAAGAAACCAAAGCCATCTGAGACTGTGACATGGGCTCGACATTGGCTCCACGATTTCCCAGGACATCTTCGCTATGACCTTTCTGCCATGTCGATTAAATCTGATCAAGGCACAAGTGCGAATGCTTGGGAAAATCCCAAATGTTTCTCATTTTCTACATTCTTAACTTTTTCCTTAATTGTTTCGATTTTCAGCCATCAGGATCAAGACTGCTGCTTCAAAGTCAAAAGAAGGGAGCGCCTCTCAGGCCTCTGTCAAAACCATTGATACTGTGACTCTATCCAAACCAATAACAACTGCTGCAACCACAACAATAACAACAACACCAGTAATAACCAGTGCTCCAACTCCACGGGTAATCACTTAGCCTTGATGTTTCGAATAAACTAATGTTTCATGATTTGCATCTAACTTATTGTTTGAATCTTTTCAGACTAACAAACTTCCGCCAACCACTCCAAAGAAACGAAAAACAAACACTACTGGGGAAAACCCTAATGCTGGAGGGAATTTACCAGCTGCTTCGAAGAAGAAGCAGAAGAAGGAAATTTCCAAAAGTGCTGTACCAACTAGTGTCTCTAGACTCGATTCCAGGGATGCTTCTCCCTCACCTAAATCCAAAATTCCATCTTCGACCTCCAACGTAATGTTGGAACGCATAGCTAGCAACCTCTCTTCTGAGAGTCCACAGGTAAATTGAACTTTAAATCTTTGACAAAATAATTATTCATTACCTTGGTGCATGCTTTTAATATTATTTTTCCTCTGTAGGATATTTTGAATCCAGCTCTTACCACTTCGACTTCACCATCGAAAACTGCTGCTCCGATCAACTCTTCTCCTCAAGGGGATTCCAGCAATCTTGTGCAGAACAAAGGGTCCTCCAATATGGCGGTTCTGGCTGGGGCTTCGGAGCAGCAAGATGACCAGAGTACTTCTCCTCCTCTAAAAGAAACAAATGAAGCAACGCTTCAAGAATCTGCAGATACTTTACAAAGAACTTCTCTTCAAAAGTCCCCTCTTGAAACCCTTCAAGAGGAACCAAAGGACATTCACGCTGAAGGAGAGAAAGCTGATTCTGATCAAAGAAACGAAGAATCTGCAGAAGAAGGGTCTGAGGAAGGAGATGCCAACGATGGTTCGACTGCTGGGACAGAGTCAGATGCAAATAGCAGCGAGAACGAAGATATCGAAGTGGTGGATTTGGATGATAATGATGAAGACAATGAGCCTGAAACGAATGAAGGTGAAGGTGACGCGACTAATAAACCCATGGAAGTCGAAATGGATGTGACTCCCCTGCGCGTGGAGCTCCCTCAACCGTCTCTATCCCGAATGACTGAAGAGGAGCTTGCTCTCCTGAGACGAAATGACCCTATTGGGTACATGAAGGCGAAGCTGGCCTAAAGGGATATTCCACCTGCTAAGGCTGGTACAAGTTCGACTAGCCATCCGTTTCCCACAAATGATAGAATTGTACTTCTTAACAGGATTAGGAGAACAATTCTTGATGTGGATTTGTTCGAAGTGCTCAAACAGGATAGCACAGCTTGCTACACTATGAAGGAGTTACTTACAAAAGTCAACCTTGCTACCTGCTCCTTGCCAGTTAGCACTATCTTGTTCGATCTTCAATCTTTGCTAGACAACGTGACTGGGTACCTTTTCTAAGATGAATTTGCTGCCAGAAAGGTTCAAGAAAAACGAACTACAATGGATGCTGCTTATGAGCATGCTTCGAAACTCTCTCAAGAAGCTGAGGATCAAGCCATGCATCTAAAGCAAGCAAAAACTGATTATGAGGCTCGAGCTGAGTCCATCCTTCTCTGGGAAAGGCAAATTCAGGAACTTTAACAGAAGGTTAAAGAGGCTCAAGAACAACAATTAGCCTACGAAACCAATACTGCTGGCAACCAATTCGAAGAGCTCCTCAACAAGGGGCTTGCAGAAATGGAAACTGCAGAACAACTCAAAGGAGAAGTGGCTACCTTAGAGGGAGCAAGACGTTTTGCTCAACAAAGGCTTGAGTCTTTTCGAAGCACCTTTAACAGATTGAAGAATAATGTCTATTTCTAAATCTTAGTGTTGATTTGGTTAAAATTTGGTTTTTTGTATGTAACATTTGAACAACGCCATTTTGGCAACCCCATATTGCCACTTTGGCATTTTTATGATATTCTGATTACGTTGTACTATTCGAATCTCCTGCAGGCGTGGCTTATATTTCTTTAAATATTTCCCATTAACCTTTAGGATACGTTTATCATCCATCAGTTCTTCAATTTCATATGCATTGTTTGAGAATACCTTTATTATTCGAAAAGGCCCTTCCCAATGAGGTGACCATTTACCTAATGTTTTATTTTTCTTGTCCATGGGCAATATGACTTTCCAGACTAAGTCATTACTAGTGAATGCTTTTCCCTTCACCCTTTTGTTATCTGCCCTGGCCACTCTTTCCTTTTGTCTCATCGGGATTTCCAATGCATGCAACCTAACTTCGTCCAATTCTACTAACTCATTCATCATCATCTCCCAATATAATGCAGCTGGAATTTCGTTTTGTCTTTGAATTCGAACTGATTGTAGATGAATTTCTACTGGCAGAACTGCATCATGACCAAATGTGAGTTGGAAAGGCGTGGTGTTAGTAGCTTCTTTATGAGATGTTCTACAGGCCCATATATGAGAGCGCTTCTGAGGTAAAAAGCGCTTTCGTATGTCCCTCATAACTAACATCAACACTTCAACATAATTTGAACACCGATATTAGCCAAACTCTATTATTCAAAATCAATACGGATAAAGTGACATCGACATCAAAATATCACTCGAGTTAAACTCAAACTTTATGGTATTGAAACAAAAAACTCACTCAAATTAATTCAAATCAAGTAGTATTTCTCATAAGAAAAATAGCACACAAAATACTCCTAAGAATGGTGCTGACATCATAAGATATCACCTAAAGCTCGCATTCTAATAGGAAACAAACTTCCATACACAGATGGAGATTATTTCAAACAAAATACCATAAAAAACAAAACAAAAACAATTTGAAATCAGATTAACACAATTACTATTTAGAATCTCATTCATATTCACACAACCATAAAAGAAAATACTAACACCGATATGAGTATCAATCATATTTAACACCAATAACAACAATGTTAGCAACAAGTCCTCATTCAGGAAAATAACATGGCTTACATTAAACTATTAACCTAATTTCATTATTTCTAATTCAACATTAACACCTTAAAACAAAATCAGCACCAACAGTATCATGAAAATACCAAAAGAAACTCAAAAGAAAGATGATAGTGATGCTTACAACGATTGGTGTCACGGTGAAGATTGTTGGCTGGAGCAGGAAGCCAGGATGGAGCTAGTTGTATGTTGTGACGAAAGAAGCACGGAGGGAGTACGTCATCGCTGAGTGGTGTGTTGGTTGTTGTTCGTGAACGGCGGCGACGACTGAAGAAGAGGGAAGAACGAACAGGAACAGTAACGGCGACAGCGAGAAACGAACGGTAACAGGAAGAAGAAATGAAGAAGACGAAGAAATGAACAAGTGAGGGCAAATTTCGTATTTAGGGATATAACCTACGAAAGCGCTTTTAAAAGCGCTTTCTAAGACCCATATATGAGAGCGTTTCTGAGGTAAAAAGCGCTTTCGTATGTCCCCCATATAAGAGCACTTTAGAAAGCGCTTTCGTAGGTCCCCCTTTCAGAGCGCTTTTCAAAAGCGCTTTTATAGGGCCACCTATAAGAGCGCTTTTCAAAAGCGCTTTCGTAGGTTAGATATTTCAAATACCTATGAAAGCGCTTTCTGAAAAGCGCTTTCGTAGGAAACCCTATAAAAGCGCTTTTTTAAGCGAATTTTTTTTAAAGGCTACGAAAGCGCTTTCTCTTAAAAGCGCTTTTGTAGATGCGCTGCCAAAAATTGTTTTTTTCGTAGTGATTGGAAGTGATAAAATAGTTTCCAAATTGTTTAACTCGTTGTCGAGGGATATAGCAGTGGATCGACATGGAGTACTTAATGTGGTGAGGATGAGTATGAGTGACTATTGCAAGAAACCTTGGAAAAGATGGCGTGCTAATCTTATTCACACTTATTTTAGAAATCCTTGGGCTATTGTGTCTCTTGTTGCTGCTTTTTTTTTTTGCACTGACTATTGCTCAAACTGTATACTCTGCTGGACAATTTTATCAAATCCTAAGCCCAACTAATAACTCACCACCTATTTTACCAGTTACTCCAAGGCCTCGTCATCTATAATTATTAATCACCCTGTGTAGTTACTTGTTTTCTACTTTGATTCTATATTTGTGTAATTCGTTTTTATTTGAATATTTTATGAATTTCTTGTTTGATTTGTCATTGGGACTTTATTTAAATCTTGTATTCACTAGTTATTTTGAATAACATGTGAGATTTGTTTGACATTGTTTACTCTATCTGTATTACTTTATGCGTTCAATTTCGTATCACTTTATGTATCTATGTAAAACCTATAAATAAATATGTAAAGTAAAAGCAAAACTAAAAGTTATTACATGATGTAAATAATTCAGTTTAGTTAACTTTGGTGATTTGTTACTTAACAGTATATATAGTATTGTCTTGTACATTCCAAAAGTAGAATAATACAATGAGTTTATTCTAAAATTAACATGGTATCAGTTTGAAATTTCATTTTCGCGCCTTTCTTTTTCCTTTCATCTTCTTCGCGCCTTCTTCTTCTTCGCACCTTCGCGCCTTCTTCTTCCTTTGCTGCATCAGCTTGATTATGGCGCTTCCTTACTCTGATTTTGCTATCAATCCTTCCAATCCTTACTACATGCATCCTAATGAGAATCCCTCTCTTGTTCTTGTTCAACCTGTTCTTGATACCAAGAACTACCAGATCTGGTCTAGATCGATGAAAGTGGCTCTTATCTCCAAGAACAAGATCAAGTTCGTCGACGACACTCTTTCTCCTCCGCCTATCTCGAACTCTCTATACGAACCTTGGCTGCGATGCAACAATCTCGTCCTCTCATGGCTTCAACGCTCGATTTCTGAGGAAATTGCAAAATCTCTTCTCTGGTATGATCGTGCTTCTCTTGTATGGAAAAGTTTGGAAAATCGTTTTTCTCAGGGAGATATTTTTCGCATTGCTGACATTCAAGAAACTGTTGCTCGTCTTCAACAAGGAACTCTCGATATCTCTTCGTTCTTCACGAAATTGATGACGCTTTGGGAAGAAATCGAGAACTTCCGGCCAATTCGTGATTGTACTTGCGCTATACCGTGCTCCTGTGGTGTTGCTTCAGACTTACGCAAATTCAAAGAACAAGATAAAGTTATCAAGTTCTTGAAGGGCCTTGGTGACCAATACGCTCATGTTCGCTCGCAGATTATGTTGATGACCCCCACTACCAACTCTTGATAATGTGTTTAATCTGATTCTTCAACAAGAACGTCAATTCAACCTTCTTTCACCTTCTGCTTCTTCAATTGAGTCTCAATCGTCTGTGAATCACCTTTCTCAAGCACCTTCTCGTTCTTCTCACAACTCTGGTCGTGGTCATGGCCGTGGAAACCGACTTTGTACTCATTACAACTGCACCAATCACACCATTGAGACTTGTTTCATGAAACATGGCTATCCCCCTGGATTTCAACAACGCAAACCTACTACATCTGTGGGGAATTCTGTTGATTCTACAGTGAACTCGATTCAAGATGTTGCTTCTCCTCAACTTGAGGCATTATCTTCCTCTGCTTCCACATCAAACACCAGTCCAAGTGCTTTGTCTACGATTCAAGAGCAATACACTCAGATTCTGCAGCTCCTCCAACAGTCTAATTTGCAATCTCCTTCACCTCCCTCGATTAATTCAGTTTATACTGCTAATTCTGTGTCCCATACCTCTCCTCATACTTCCTCTGGTAAGAATTCCTCAAATCTTCCTTGTCATAACTGGTGGATCATTGACACAGGTGCCACTGATCACATCACCCATATCTTTGCCAGTTTCCTTTCCATATACCACATTGCACCTAAATCTATGACAATGCCTAATGGTGACTCTGTCACTACAACTATTGTTCGTTCAGTTTTACTATGTGATTCACTTGTCCTTCATAATGTTTATTACTTTCCTTCATTTCATTTCAATATTATCTCTGTCACCACTCTTTTTGACTCCACTTTATATGATGTGAAATTTCCCCCTAATTGCTGTCAAATTATGCAGTTGTCCCAATCCAAGATGACTGGATTTACAGCTAGGAGGATTGGAAAATTGTATGTTCTTGATGCCACCACCACCTAAGGCCATCTCTCCCACATCTGGCTCTGTCAACACCTCCTCTTCTCCCCAATTAGAACCTGCTAAACACGATCCTGCTACTATTTGGCATCTTAGGCTTGGACACTTAAGTCCTTACATACACAAATGTATTTCCTATCAATTTCCTTTTGTCACCTACAATGACAATCATAAGCCCTGTAATACTTGCCATTTGGCTAAGCAAAAACATTTGCCATTTACTCACAGTAATACTAAGTCTGTTGCCATCTTCGATTTACTTCATGTCGATATTTGGGGCCCTCTTTCCACACCTTCCATATGTGGCCACAAGTATTTTTTAACCCTCGTAGATGATTACAACAGGTTTACTTGGACAAATTTTATGGCCAACAAAAGTGAAACCAGAAACCATTTAATTCACTTCATATCTTTTATCGAAACTCAATTTAACAAGAAACTCAAGTGCATTCGTAGTGATAATGGTCATGAGTTTCTCATGACCACTTTCTACCTTTCTAAAGGAATCATTCATCAAAGGTCTTGTGTGGAAACGCCTCAACAGAACGGTATCATGGAAAGAAAACATCAGCACATTTTGAATGTTGCCCGTGCCCTCTCTTTCCACTCTCACCTCCCTCACAACCTTTGGCACCTTTCCATACAACAGGTCATTCATATTATAAACCGTCTTCCAACTCCTCTTTTAAACAACCACTCTCCCTACCAAAAACTCCATTCTACTCCACCCAGCCTTAACCATATGAGAGTCTTTGGTTGTCTTGCCTATTCTTCGACCTTGCTTAACCATCGCACTAAATTCGAACCAAGAGCAAGGAAATCTATTTTTCTTGGCTACAGGGAAGGCACAAAAGGCTACCTTCTCTATGATCCTATCACACATGAATTTTACATTTCAAGGAATGTATTCTTTTATGAAACTGTGTTCCCTTTTGCATCCATCCCACCTACACCTAATCCTATAATTCCTACTCCTGACCCTCCTCCCCTTGATTCACCTGATATTTTCACCAACATTCCACCCATCTCACCTCCACCATCAAATGAACCTTCCTCTCCTACCTCTCTCCCCCAGCCAGATTCTCCCACTAACCTCTCTTCTTCCTCAAATGACACTAACAACTCCCCTTGCCCCTCCCCTCTTGTGCCAACCAGAAAATCCAATCGAAATATTAAACCTCCAGCTTATCTATCTGATTATCACTGCAATTTGCTATCCCACATGCTGCCAGCATCTGACTCAGGTTCCTCTAACTACCCTCTCTCTTCTGTATTATCTTATAGCCAATGTAGTCCTGATCACAAATTATTTTGTCTGTCCATAAGCTTTTTCACAGAACCCAAAACCTATAAACAAGCCTGCAAGTTTGATTGTTGGAACAATGCTATGAAATCTGAGTTAGATGCTCTTGAATCTACAAATACTTGGTCTGTTGTTGATTTGCCTGCAGGCAAACAATCGATTGGTTGCAAATGGGTCTACAAAATCAAGCATCATGCTGATGGATCCATCGAACGATACAAGGCCCGTTTGGTAGCAAAAGGATATACTCAGCTGGAGGGTGTGGATTATTTTGACACTTTCTCACCTGTTGCGAAGCTTACTTCTATTCGAACCCTTCTCTCAGTGGCTGCCATTAAGAATTGGCACTTGGAACAACTCGACGTCAACAATGCCTTCCTTCATGGTGATCTACATGAGGAAGTGTATATGGATCTTCCTCCTGGATTCCTGCCCCCTGCTTCTTCGACCAACGAAGTTTGCACTTCTTCGACCAATGAAGTTTTCACTTCTTCGACCAACGAAGTTTGCACTTCTTCGACCAACAAAGTTTGCACTTCTTCGACCAACAAAGTTTGCAAATTGCATAAGTCATTATATGGCCTGAAGCAGGCTAGCAGACAGTGGTTTTCGAAATTGTCCACTGCCCTTATCTCTCTTGGCTACTCATATTCTTCTGCTGATCATTCTTTTTTCATAAAATCACATGACTCTTCTTTTACTGCCTTATTAGCCTATGTTGATGATATTGTCTTAGCCGGTAATGATTTGCAGGAAATCCAATATGTCAAAAGCTTCCTTGATTCCACTTTCAAAATCAAGGACCTTGGTAGGCTAAAATATTTTCTTGGTCTAGAAGTTGCCAGATCAACTCACGGTATTTTTCTCAATCAGAGAAAGTACGCTTTGGAATTGCTCGAAGACAGTGGCTTATTGGCTACTAAACCTTGCTCTACTCCCTTAGATTCCTCCTTGAAGCTTCATGATGATAACTCACCACCTTTCGAAGACGTCACAGCTTATCAAAGGCTTGTTGGAAAACTTCTATATCTGACTACCACCAGACCTGACCTTGCATTCATCGTTCAACAACTCAGCCAATTCATCTCACATCCTATGCAAGTTCATCATTCTGCAACAATTCGAGTCCTCAAGTATCTCAAAGGTGCTCCTACCAAGGGTTTGTTCTATTCATCTTCCTCTCCACTCAAACTCTCTGGCTTCGCAGACTCAGATTGGGCAAGTTGCCCTGCTACCCGCAGATCCGTAACTGGATATTGTGTGTTCCTTGGCAATTCCCTCATATCCTGGAAATTCAAAAAGCAGTCTACAGTATCCAAATCAAGTTCAGAAGCGGAATACAGGGCCTTGGCAAGCTTGACTTGTGAATTGCAATGGCTGCAGTATTTGTTCAAGGATCTCCACATCTCCTTTGATCAACCTAGCTCAGTCTATTGTGACAACAAAAGTGCTATCTACCTTGCTCACAACCCCACCTTCCATGAACGGACAAAACATATCAAAATTGACTGCCACGTCATTCGTGAGAAAATCCAAACTGGTCTCATCCACCTTTTACCAGTTTCTTCTGCTGCTCAACTGGCAGATGTTCTCACCAAGCCTTTGGCAGCTCCCTCTTTCGATTCTCTTGTTTCCAAGCTTGGTCTATTAGACATCCA